AAGAAGAAAGTGATCTCGTCACTGAATATATGTTTAAGTTAATAAATAGATTAAAAAGATGTCAAGAAGTAGCTATAAATAAAATGGAGGAAATGCAAATTAAGCGGAAAACTTGGTATGATAAAAACGCAGTAAAACGTGAATTTAAGGATGGGGATTTAGTCCTAGAGTGTTAGCTACATCCAGAACAAATAAATTAGCAGTGCAGTGGATAGGTCCTGGGACAATTTTAAATAAAATTTCGGAAACGAACTATTTAGTCGAAATCCTCGGCAGAGGCGAAACATCTCAAATCTATCATATAAAAATGCTAAAACCATATTACAAAAGGCCAGAACACGTTAACGTAATTATTAATGATGAAACAAAAAACTCTCTTGCAGACCAGGAATTAGAAATCCCATACTTAGAAAACAATTCTCTCGTTTATGATTTCGAGGACGTAATCCAGGATAGCGAGTTGAACAAACATCTTCACGACAAACAAATGGATCGACTGCGCGAATTATTAAATAAATACTCTAAATGTTTTTCAAACAATCCTGGTTTAACTAATCTGGTTGAACACGAAATCCAGTTAGTTAGCGATCAACCAGTTAGGACGAAGCCCTATCGAATGTCGCACCTTGAACATATGGAAACGGGGTTCTGCAGAGAATAAAGAGAGCTAAGTTAACGATAAAACCTTCAAAGTGTAAGTTTGCGCAACAAAATGTCAAATTTTTGGGACACATTGTGGGTCAGGGTTTTCGCACCCCTTCCGAGATCAAAGTTCAGGCTGTTCTAGAGTTCCCTACCCCTCGCACGAAAACTCAAATACGTGCCTTCTTAGGTTTAGCGGGTTATTACCAAAAACATATAAATCTGTTCTCGGTAATCGCTGCTCCGTTGACGGACGCGTTGAAGGGAAGAGCAAAGAAGGGAGAAATTAAGTGGACGACCGAGGGTGAAGACACATTTCGAGAACTAAAAGGGAAACTAATTGATAAGCCCGTCTTGTACGCGCCAAATTTTGAACGAGAATTCATTTTGTTCAAACGGACGCTTCAAACGCAGGTATGGGAGCAGTTTTAACCCAATTAACTGAACAAGGTGAGGAGCATCCAATCCTTTACCTGAGTAAGAAATTTTCAGAGGTAGAGAAGCGTTATTGTACGACGGAGAAGGAATGTGCTAGTATTGTTTTCGCAATTAAAAGGTTACATTATTACTTAGATGGAAATTCCTTTTTAGTTATGACCGATCACAACCCGTTGGTGTGGTTGAATAGAAACGTTAGTTCTAACCCTAGATTGATGCGATGGGCTTTGGCTTTGCAACCATATAATTTTAGAATTGTACATCGGTCGGGTAAAAGTCACAAAAATGCAGATAGTCTCAGCAGATCGGTGATAGATAATTAAGAATTGTTAACAATGTTCTGTTGCTCATGAATAATAATTGTTGCTTATGTTTTTTAGTTAAAGATTAATAATTGTATTTACTAGTACTGTATATCATATCGAATGGAGATGCGTGTCAAAAGATAAAGCCATGAAAAGCAAATGTATTAATATGCTTAATTTTGTGTATAGGGTTTTAAAATATACATGAGTATTTAGTTTACGCAAGAGGCATATTGTGAAAAATATTTTGTGTGTAAGGTTGTACACTTCGCATATCATATCAACCTGTCGTTAGTATAATTTTTATTAAGTATTGTGGCGAAGAATATTTTATGTGCAAGGTCTTACACTAGCATTTGATATAACATGTTGTTAGTATAATTGATAATAGGCATTGTGATAGGAGTGTTTGTATTTTTATTTAATGTTATAGTATGTTTTCTTACATTGCTATTGATCATTTTCGTAATATGGATTTGTGTAAGTTCCCTAGTAAGAACACTCACTCACTAGAAATAAGTAATTCCAAATTTAGTTCAGCGTTTTCTTTAGTAGTTAAAATTGCAGCTCAGAAATATAGTGGTGCTTGATGAAGGGATGTGTCGGTAATCTGTCAGTTGTCTCATCGTCATTCCATTAAACTTTTCTCAACGGAAAAGTTCTATAAGAGAGGGCGAGAGCTGTAACGTCGCTTCTCCGAACATCAACATCGAGAGGGGTCGGTTTCTTTGTGGACCCGACACCCACACGTGCATCTTGCACGTGCAACGCAACCCCTTTTTGACCCCCGAGGAATTTAGCTCGTCGACCGGAAGATGAGGGGAGAGATGCTTTGAACTTGCACGAGAGTGGTGACCAACGAATCCTCCTCTCACAAAATATTGGACTCTAACAATCTATAATTAAATTTAATAACTTTAATGTATCATTTAGTAAATAATTTTCAATAGTTGTGACGTAAATAAATTCCATATTTTAATTAACCAAGAATACGCTACCGTTATTCTTTCAAACGTTACAACACGTAGGATTGTAATCAATCGAAAAACAACTCAAAGGCTATGTAAGGGGAGGGTAGTCCGGAACTGAGAACCCCCTCCTTGTACGCGTCACTGCTTTGCATTATATGTTTTTTATTATTATATCTATTATTTCCATTGCATTGCAAAATGTTAACATATATTAAATTTACATTCAAACAAACATCTCTCATTAAATTCTTCCATATAGGTGATATATTTCTTCTTTCATAAGCCGAACTTTTATAAATGTCAATGCTTATTCATTTTTATGCGATTTTTTTCGGTTCAAATATAAATATTAGGCAGTTAAGTCATTTCAGCAACGAAATTTTTAATATGTTATGCATGAGTATTTGTATGTATGTTTCGCGACGAAGACGAGCCCAAATGAAATGGGCTTTGCAACATATTTTGCTCTGCCTGGGGTAAGCCGAATTCCTTTCCTGTTCTCGTTTGACTTGTAACAGACCTAGTTCATCGAAAGCAATTTATTAACCGCGTAATTGTCAATTTATTAAAGATTTCAGGACACGGATATGTTTGGGAAATTCTTCGAAGACACTTTTTTAAAAAGGAACGGTAAAAGTATGAAAACTTTTGACTATACCTTCAGTTGTAAATGCTACAGACGTGTTAAAATAATGCAGTGTTTTTCTTGAATATTTTTGATGTTGTGTAGAGGATTTATATCTAAAAAAACGTTTGTCCATTTTCAACTTTATAATTTATAGGCTTTTAAAGTAGTTTTGATATGATTTATTTTAATCATACTGACGTAAGAAACGCATACAACAAAACAGAAAATTACAAATATTATTTGCAAAATAAGTATTTTACTGAGTTTTAAGAACTTAATTTATACACTCAGTGAATGTATCATTTTATTGTAAGGGATGGAACATTTTAAGAACAACTTAAATGGAAAATTTAAACAAAAATGTTCAATGTTTGTTAAAAATACTTCTAAAAAACTACTAGAGTTAAATCAAGCATTTAACTAGTAGTTGACCGATTTTTGGAAAATATATTTGTCGTTTTTTAGCGTAATTTAAATATGCAATCCTACGTCAAATTAATACTTATGAATCATATTTAAAAGACGAGATGGACTTCTTCAGAATGCATTCTAGTCTTTTCGATATCACGCCAACGCTTGCGATATTTCACCTTATTTGGCGAGTATTCTTATTCAATATCGGTATAACTTGTGGTTGGGTCAAGACCAGAGACAGTCCCCTTCCCCTCTTATTCTCTCACATATTATTAAAACCAAGCCTATGTCAAACCAAAACAGTCATAGCCTCAATAAAATGATTATTATTTCTTAACTGAGCAGATTAACCTAATAATCTGTTAATTAACTATCGTTACTTCATCATGAACTAGTAATAAAATGAATTATTACTGGTGCAAATATTCGTTAGACAAACATTTAAATTAGAATCTCATTGAGAATTTATAATTATATAGCTATCAATCATTGTATCTTATTAAAAACGATTTTGGGTTATTGAACGATTTTTTTGTATTTATTTTTCGAATGATTTTATTAAAAACATAATTAATTTTGATTAAAAAAAGTTAAGAACGAACAAAAATTATACTAAATCCCTAGAATTTCTTCAGAAATATTTAAATTCTTTCGAAAAACTACATTTTATAAAGAAAGACTTATATGACTTCTTAAATATAGATTTCCAACTTTTGATCGAGGAAATAAGTCCCACATTAAAATATTTGAGAAGAATTCGAGTTAAACTAATTCAAAAAGGTGTTTAAACATTTCTGAATATCACACACAATTAATGGACTATTTTAATAAAATATTTTTCGTGTTTACCTTACAATAACATTTTAATTTAAAATATAAGTAATGAAACTTATTTACTGTAATGAACGGCTTAAATGAGATACTTTCAAATAATTTTAAATTACATTTATTACTATATTTTTATCACTATTCAAATAAAATGCATTTTGTAACATATATAATGAATCGTAAATCCGCATTTATTCGTATTGAAAATTTGAACAGTTTTATTCAGATGCTTCTGTAACCAATAGTGCACTATTTTTTTCAGTAAATCTTCAGGAATTCTGTATTTTTAATTTTGATAAAAGATTCAATGAAAGATGACTTAAAAAATTAGAATAGTATTATATCTTAAATATTGGTGAAATGTTATGTCTTATTAAAAGAGTAAATAATTTTTGTATGATGTACATTTTGAAATTGTGAAATAAACAGCTGTAAACAAAGTTTGACATTCTAGTCTTACTGATAAAACAAGTAATATATTATATATATATTTAAAAAATAAGTCAATTCCTATTTAGGTCAACAAAGAAAATTTTTATTTTAGTTACTTTTATTAAATAGTTACAATTAATATAAAATATATATGTACATATGACTGAATCACAATATTAAGTGACAAGATAGAAATCGATTTTCCGTACAGTTTTCCATTTTCCTTTCTATATAGGGTGTTGGACTATTTTTTCCTTGCTACTATATATTCTTTAAGTAATTTCAATTATTCTAATAAAATAGTATAGTAAAGTGGGAATCACATTCTCTGAATCAATCTCATCCATTCCAGATGGGATTCGAACCCACGATCTTTGGATTAGAAGTCCAACGCGCCATTCATGCCACTGTAGGGACACAACAAATGCTTTTCCTTTCTACATATGCTGTTGGACTATTATTTTGGTTTGTTACTATTTATTCATTTTTTAATTTAATTAATGAATTTGTATTTGAAAATACTGTATTAACATCAAATGTTATCCACTACAAGTTTAAAAAAATGTATTTGAACTTGAATGGATGAATAGAGAGCCTTTCATTAACGATTGAATATTTGAGCAATATATATATATATATATATATATATATATATATATATATATATATATATATATATATATATATATATATATATATATAGGAGGGAGTGAACTATTAGTAGGAATTGAAAAAGATGTGTTTATTCTCTGAAAATCATATTTGTCCCAAACGTGAAGTAATATTGAACCTTTAGTAGATACCCTAACATGTATAATCTGTATGTGTTTTGCATTATTCAAAAAAGTAATAATTTTCACCTTTCGATTAAATAGGCCGAGTACATAAATTCAAGTAAACATTTTACACGAAAGTTTATAATCTTATGAAATATTCAATATTCATAAGAAACGAAGAAAATATTCGAATTTTTATCAAATTTTCATTTACTTTTGATAACAATTTTAATTCTTGGAAAGCATATAAAAACTAATATCTGAATAAACCATTTTACCTCTGATGCCGTAAAAAGCTGGTTAATTCAATTTTCAAATTGATAACTAAGTAATTATAAGCAATGCTTCAAGTTTTCCTTTAACTTAATAAGCATATTAAATTTTCTTTCGTATCAAAAGTCAACCACTTATTTTAAAATCGTAATCAAAACAAAATAAATATCGCTATTTTCAAATGTAGATTGCTGAATAAAGTATAACTTCACTTCGTTCTGTATTAAAGAGTAAATTTAAAATATCTACAGAGAAAAAAATGATACTTGCGCTTAAGAATTATGTACGTACAAAAAAATGCTTATGAAATGAAATAAGGAAACGAAAGAAAAAAAGGAATCAAAGAGATGCATGAAAATTCGAAACCAAAATAGTGACTTACTGATCGAGTCACGATTGTTGTAATGGGGGGAAATGGCTTCTAGTCTATTAATATCTCAAAAACACACTTCTTATTATCATGAAAAAGAGATGTACACTGTAGCTTTTATAATAATAAGTTTCTTTATATACTAGGTGACAATCAATAGTTCACGATTGGTTGAGAAATTTTTTAAGCATATATATACATATATATATATATATATGATAAAAGAAATTGATAACGGTTTCAAAAACAAATTGCCTATTAAATTAGGTGTACGTGCTTGCATGTATAAATATAACTAAACATTTGTGAATAACGGATATTAACTGTTTAAATATGCTAATCATTTTTTTAATGTATAGTAATGCCCCATTTGATATATTTGCGTTTGAAGTATGATTAACATTTTGACAATATGAAAGCTTAAGTAAACTTGTGTTACAAAAAAGTCTGTCTTTTTTTATTTTGAAGCAAATTTTCGCTAGCGTTGGTGTGAAGGTTCGCGGAACGACAAACCATCTCCAAAAATCAACTAATTTTTTAAAATTTATTTTTGCCTTTAAATGTGGGGCTGAGGATTGGTAATTACCATTGTAGACCTAGTACATTCTCCGGGAGCTGGTATCATTTTTTAGTGTGGCACAATATATAGGTGGATACAAATTTCCACAATGTACAGTGGGTGATCAGTTAACGAACATATTACGTTCCAAGACTATGTTCGCTATCCGAATTTTTCGTTAATCGATCATCGATTCACCATAGACTTCTATGTAGAATCAATTAATTCGTTCTGGAGACCCTAAAAATTAAATTTTAAAAAATGTATAGTTTCTTAGTAAGTTTTTGAAAAAATAATACATGCATATAGTATTGCATATTAATCAGTCCTTTTCAATTTTTGCTTATGGGGCGTTGAAGAACATGTCCAATGTCGATTGCTTTTCTCTCTTTTTCAAGATTTTCCGGAAGTAATTAATAGCATTGTCGTTGTAAAGATCTCCAACCCTACTGACATCAGCTTGGTTTGGGTGCCATTCTAAGACCATTGCTCTGACAGCCTCCCACTTTTTCAAAAGATCTTTAATGGCAGATGCCGGCATTGGTCCTCTTTTTTTCGCCTTCCTCTTCTTCAAAAGGAGATACATTTTGTTGTGCTTCTTGGTGTTCTTCTGTCGTCAGTTCATCTTCGTGTCCCATTATGAGCTCTTCTATGTCATCTTCATTCACCTGCGATTCCAGATCTCTAGCAGTTGTCAAAATTTCATCCATAATTTAAGGGGTGTCTCCATGATCATCTCCGAATATGTGTTCGTTGTCCAAACACAAAATCTTTCTTGAAAGTGTTCGCTAACCGATCACCCATTATATTTTTGATGCCCAGTTTCCTTTCCAAAAGAAGGCACCCGAGCTCTGATGATGCGAAATTATACAAGAGATTTAATTTTACCGAGAGCACCTAAGCCAAACGGGCACTTTAAAGACCATTAACATGCACCTAATCCTACGACATGGATGCTGTTGATATTTTTGCGTTATGAAAATCCACCGACTTGGGCTGGGTTGAACCTACGAGCTTGGACGTATAAGGTCAGTGTCTAATCAACTATGCCACGCAGCTGGCGCCTTTTTATTCTTATCCCTTTCAATTACAGTAGAACGTCGTTTATCCAAATCAATTGGGACCGGACACCATTCGGATAACCGAAAACCGAAAGCGATCCATGCAGTATATGAAACCGGACACTATACGAATAATGAAAATCATCACATGTGCGGGAAACGTGCTTGAAGGAAAAGCAATATAGGTGAAAAATGTCGCAATTTTACCTTTATGGTGGAAAATAATGACTTAATTTTTGCTGTACAATTCTACACCTTCGTTTTTTTGCTGCAAAGTCCCTAATTCTCTTGAGCAGCAGTAGTTGAGTAGGACAGCAATCTGATTGTTGTTCGTACCACTCCATAGCTGTCTCTAACACGGAAAACGCGTTAGCATTGGATGGGCCCTTGTTACTTTCATTGTTGTAGTTGTCCTCGTCTTCATCCGTTCATCGTCGACAAGGTCGGATTCTTCATGCACGGAAGTCATAATCTCGTCATCATTTAGCATTTTAAATTCACAGTCTTCTGCATCGCATGCCGTGCAGGTGTTTTTACATCTTCGTTGCATTCTTGAAATGCTGGAATTGATTGGATAAAGTCGGTATTCGGTCGGTCTGAGGTCTTCATTGAAGTCTTATTACATGCATTTTCATATACAGTACATGTAGTTGAAAAAAACTGAGCATCGGTAGATTGAACGGGCATTGGCCCTTTCTACACGGTGGGTCTACACAGCGGTGCCGTCCATCCGGGATAGTGGTTAGTGACGCTGACTGCGGTACCGGGCTGGGTTCGAATCCCGGATAAGGCATGGATGTTTGTGTTTTATTTCTTCTCTTCTTTGTGATGTGTGCTTCGCACTTACTTCTATGTAAGCCCCCGTATGATACTTTGTGGTTCGTGGGGTTATAAATGTTCTAAAAAAATGGAGAGAGAGTCAATTTATGTCTATTCTAAATAATTAGCTACATTCATAAAGGTCATGTGATAAATGCAATCACGTGTTCTCCACGTAACCTAACATCAGATTTGCATTTGCTGTTCTACTAGTAAAAATTTAGGTACAATTTCAAATTTTATAAAGATGTTCAAGTATTAAGATGTTCCAAAAAGTTTTTCAACATAAATAAATTTTTGGAACATCTTAATAATAATTAATCTTCATCTTAATAATTATAATATTAATCTTAGTTTTTTAATATAAATTTTTATATTATAGGTGTAAATCCAGTGCATATTGTTTCCCTACGTGCGCTATTATTGTTGACAAATATGTGCTTTCTAAAAAAAGTTTCTGCAAAATTAAAAGTTGGCAATAGTGAAGCAGGTGAATTGTTTGATTGGGAACAGGTGATTGAATTTATCATGTGACTATGACGTCACATAAATTTATTAACTGATTGACTTGAAACACGTGATTGTAGTTATCACATGACTATGGCATTACATGAATATAGTGCATTATGACTAAACGTACTTATCGCTTAATGTAGATAGTAGGCTCTATTCCTTCAACTGGACCCACAAGGTTCTTAATTCTGTTTCAGAATACACCAACAATTTAAACGTAAACTATGATTTAATCTAACATTAGTTGCTGTCTTCTACCCGAATTCAATTCCCTTAACTTTAAATAATAGTTCTATTTTGCATAAGTCGCGGTCACTTTACAAAAAAGTTCTCAAATAAAACAATTGACTGAAAGCAGTATCCCTTGAGGATTAATAGAAGAGTGTGCTACAAATTTTGTAATATTTTAGCTTTGAAAAATTCTCCCGATTCTCAAGTTCAAGAAACTTTAGAAGTTTAAAAATTTTATAAGTTTAGAGGTGATTTTTGTGTGAAAGTACATCACCTAAATGTAAATAAATTCCGGTTGTGTTTAAAAATTAATTTTTATGATGTGTTCATGGTTTTACTTAAATATTTTCTTTAACGTTGTAGACAGACTAAAAGCTGATTTATACTCTGAATACCGTGCAATCTGACATGCAACGCGTCCTCTTAACACAACAAATAAGATCGAAGTTAATACGAGCATGTTATATGCAGGGTATAAAAATAGCAGCTTTAAAAATGACAAGTAATATAAAAAAATTTTAAAGTCAGTTCCCACTTAGGTCAACAAAGAAAAAATGTATTTTAATTCCTTTTTAATAAATAATTACAATTAATATAAATATGTATATACAAATGACAGAATCACACTATTAAGGGGCAATATCGAAAGCAATTTTCCTTTCTATGTATGATGTTGGACTATTAGTTTTGTTTGTGACTATTTATTCATTCATAAATTATATTCTCAGAAATAAGGCCATTCCAGGTAGGATTCAAACCTACGACCTTTGGATTAGAAGTCCAACGCTCTACAGTGACACAACGAGCGATTTTCTTTTTTATATAGGGTGTTAGACTATTATTTTTATTTGTAACTATTTATTCATTAATTCAGTTTAAGTAACGAAATAATATTTGAGAAAACTGTTTTAACATTAAGTGTTATCCACTACAAGTTTTAAAAAAAGGATATGAACTTGAATGGTGGAAAATAAAGTATTCTATTAACGATTGAAAATTTGAACAAGATTATATATATATATATATATATATATACATATATATGTAGGGAGATTGTGAACTAATACTAGGAATTGAAAAAAGAGATGAGCTTAAGAAAATTAGACTTTTATATACATCCAAACACTGTTTATTTAAAAGAAATGACGTACCTTATGTACTTGAAGATTTGTAGTTCTAGAAGTATACTATTTTTTCAGAAGCTTGTGATAATACCTCGAATAAATGACTTCGAAACATAAGAGCTTTGCAAACGTCATTTGAGGTGTCTTCGTAAAAAAGGGGTGTAAATTATACCTAAATATTAAAAAATGCAGCTTGAAAGTATACGCACGCATTATACGCCTAATATTATTATAACTTGTTTCATGTTCCTTTTCCTTCTTTTGCCGATATAATTCGACGAATTTTCTGCAAGGAAGTGTTGAAGTAAAATAATAAGAAAAAGAAAAGGGGGGGATAAAAACTACCGGGAAATTCAATAATTACCCTAAACCAATTTATTCTCCACCTCACTTTATCACTGTTACTTTCTTAAAACTAAAATCTCGATATCCATCACAGAAAAAATGAAAAAAGGAAAAGAAGGGGAGAAAAAAAGCCAATAATTGGCTCGTTTGATAGAAAGAAAAGAGGATATTCGGTGTAATGTGTTATATAATAATAGTCGAAATCTCCCCTCCACAGTCACACCTTTGGAGAATCGTGAGAGATGCATCATTTTCACGATTGTGATTGTGGCAGCTGAAATGGCATCTATCCATTTCTCATCCTCACACCTGTGATGTTGATTTATCAGGTAGTTGAGATCACGATCGCAGTTACAGATTTAAATATTTGGAGTTTTGACCGGACCATTGGAAGTTTTTCTTCTTCAATGAAAAGAGAATTTATGTAAATAAAGGGTCCGTGTGTTGTTACGGGGCGCTGTAATAGTTCAAGGAATGGCCAATTAAATTTTGAGTTATAGCTTTTTCGAGATGTGTTATAACACGGAAAGGTATTGAAAATTTACCGATATGTTCATCTCAGAGTGAAAATGAACGAGTTATAATCTATCTTCTCAGGTCATCTGAAATCATACGCTTTTCTTCGGTGTACAATACAGCGGCATTTTAAGAAATCGGTCATAAATATTACAGCAAACTTATTCGTCATAGTTACATGTATTGCTCTATATCTCATGTATAATTGTATTATTCAATTAAGACATAGTTTTTCAAACTGTGGGGTGCGCCTCCGTAGAGGAGCTTGATAACTCTACTAAGGGGGTTCAAGAATATTTAAAAAGATTGCTTAAAAAATATTAATTTGCTGAGAGAGAGAGAGAAATTAAACAAATCAAATACATTGCGACATTATAAAAAATAAAACACGCATTTCCACTGATATAATGCACTTATAAGTACATCAAAAAATTACGGTGAAAAAAATACGATGAAAAATTTGATTGAATATTGGGTCAAAAATATTGAAACTTTGAGAAGCCCTAAATTAAGAGATATTTTTGATTACATAAGGTAGTATATATCTAATATTTCTGAATATAAACTATCCATGTAATAATCCGAGAGTGCATTTTTCCTTCTAAATTTATACCAAAATTCGAAACCCGTATATAATTTGAATTGGAAAAAATATTTGTAATTTTCAAGTATGTCACAAAAGAGAAAATATTGTCAAACGGGTGGAATATTTATAATGAAATTGCTGTAAAATAAAACGCCAGACGCCAATGACGATATATTTATTTCTAGAAACCCTATGTGAAACTAGTACACACTCTTTCCATTGATTTGCTATCTTGTGTACTTTCTGCGTATTTCGTAATTTCTGCGGCATTTTCTTTGTTTAGAAATGAGAGGGAAGATAAATTTGTATGTGACACGTGATTGTAGACCTATGTTTCATGATTTAGAGGAAAACTCGCGGCATGAGATAATACTATGCATTAAGAATGAGTAAATCCCATTGAATTCAATTCAGAATGAAGACATCCTAATCAGTGAGTTGAATTTTGCAAACTGTTCGGAAACTTTGATTCAGACACTGGCTTTGAAGGGTTTGTGACTTTTTTTTCTCTTTTAGAATGAAAGTCCGTTCAAAACACTCAAAAATTAAAAGTTTATGATCGCTTGTCTGCATGATTAACGAAAAATGTTGGGAAAAAAAAGCATTTTTTCCTTTTCTATGTTTTTTTCCGAGATTGACAGATTCATGTGTAAGCCAATAAATCCCCTTACTTTAATTTTAAAAAAATGTTCCAAAATGTCTCAGATTATTCGCTGAAATATATGGTAATGGTGCATAATAGCACATTCTATGATATTGAAGCAAAATAGGTTTGATTCAATTAATCATTCTCTCATTTTCAGTATTCTTTCATAATAGTGATAATTCATAGGTTATTTATCATTATTTTCTTTTTCATTGAGGCCTTCTTGTACGTCATATAGCAAATGTGTATGTTAACTGTACAAATTGAATTTTATAATCAATATCCGATGGAATAAATTCATGTGACGTCATAGTAACATGATAACTGCAATCACGTGTTTCCAGTAATCAGTTCATGCGCTTCGCTGTTGCCAACATTTGTTTTTCGCAGAAACTTTTCTAAAAAGTACCGTAAAATCCGACGTACAGAGTGTTTTTTTCCCAGGTATAGAAGTTTAAGTTGGCATTACTTTCCAAGATGGCGACCGATTTAACAGCTGTCAAGTGATTTATTCTCAGTTTGGTTTGGCAATTCATCATGAATAGACTCACGCCTGAACAACGCTTTCAAATTGTGCAATTTATTTCGAAAATAATGGTCGATTTTCATAAGCGAATTTTGTTTAGCGATGAAGCGCACTTCTGGTTGAATGGCTACGTCAACAAACAAAACTGCCGCATTTGGAGTGAAGCTAATCCACAAGTGTATGTCGAAACACCGTTACATCCAGAAAAACTGACTGTTTGGTGCGCTTTATGGGCTGGTGGGATCCTTCTTCAAAAACGATGAAGGCCACAACGTTACAGTCAATGGTGATCGGTATAGAGCCATGATTACTAACTTTTTCATTCTTGAATTGAACAATCATGATGTCCAGGAGCTGTGGTTCCAACAAGACGGCGCAACATGTCACACAGCTCGTGCCACAATCGATTTATTGAAAGACACGTTTGGTGACCGCATAATTTCACGTTTTGGACCTGTGAATTGGCCTCCAAGATCTTGTGATTTAACACCGCTAGACTATTTTTGTGGGACTATGTAAAGTCATTGGTCTATGCGAATAAGCCACAAATGCTTGACCATTTGAAGACAACATTCGCCGTGTTATTGCCGATATACGGCCACAAATGTTGAAAAAGTCATCGAAAATTGGACGTCCAGATTGGACTACATCCGAGCCAGCCGTGGCAGTCCTATGCCAGAAATCATTTAAAATGTAATGTCACAAGATTATCTTTCGAATAAAAAAAATTCATGTCAATCGAATAATACATCGTTGTTTTATTGCAATTTAAAGTTCTATACCTCTAAAAAAACACCCTTTATAACGTGCACCTCCTTTTTTACGTAGGAACCTGAAACGTATGTCTGCAATGCCTTTATGTGTATAAGTCATTTATAGGAGGTATTATCCAAGAGTTTGAAGAAATTATATACTTTTAGAACTACAACCCTTAAGTTCATAAGAAATGCCATTCCTTTTAAATAAATAGCATTTCGATGCATGTAAAAACTAATTTTTTTATGCTCAAGTCTTCTTTCAGTTTGAAAGCTATCACATTTTGATACCCGGTGTATAACACGTACTTGTAAATTTTGATCTAATTTTTTGTGTTAAAAGTGTACGTTATACGCCTGATTTTACGGTACATATTTGTCAACAATAATAAAGCTCGTAGGTCAGCAAAATTAACTTGATTTAAAAGTACCTGCATAGTTTTTAATTTTGTTATAATTTGAAAACTGTGTGAAGAATCTTATAATACTGGATCATTTTTATTCAATGTTAATTTTAACTAAACAACACATGCAGAACAGGAGCAAGTGTAATGCCAATCTTGAATTCAGTGGAGGTCACGTGATTGCATTTATCATGTGATCGTCGAAAACTTAGCCCATTAAACTTTTTTTCAATTCCTATTATTAGTTCACACTCACCCTATATATATATATATATATATATATATATATACATATATATATACATATATATATACATATATATATATATATATATATATATATATATATATATATATATATAATATATATATATATATATATATATATATATATATATATATATATATATATATATATATATATATATATATATATATATATATATATATATATATATATATATATATATATACTAGCCATTACCCACCCGCTTCACTGGGTATTTCACGATATTGTACATATGTATACTGTTTACATATATATTTATTATTGATATCAAGCATTAAGAATTCGATTGTATTGAAAATATATTTATAGCTCTGTTACACTCTCTCCCTTTGATATAAAAAGAACATAAATTATAATATCTAATTTCTATTTATATCTAAAATAGAAGGCGAAAGATTGTTTTCGCTCACTTAACCTAAGAATCAAGTGGATTTCCACCAAAGCAACTTTCAGTGGATCTCTACTCCATAAAATAAACATGCTTGCTAAATTTCAAGTCTAAATCTAACAGAGCAAAAACGGAATTTTTATCATCAATACCTCGTTGACAGCATTCTTAGCGGATTCCAATTCAACAAAAGAAGCATGCAAACCAAATTTTATTATTATAGTCTTAGCAGT